CATAAATTATGTACTCAATATCAATAGATGGTATAAATTGTCTTAGTGAGTACTGTCTTTATGATGTTGTAGCAACATACTAAATCTCTTGCAAGAGTTAATAATATTAGAATGAGATTCCTGAAGAGTCTAGAAAGATTATAAAGCGTTGAAAGGAATATTGTCTCGAGGTGTAGATCGAATAATATGCCAACACAAATCTTATCCAAAATGTTTATGATATTAAAAAAAAACCATATGGATTAAAGATTATGAGTTGAATACTCAAATAATTAACCAGTATTTAGACATTAAGAAAGATCATTCATCCTTGTGAAGGAAATGATAAATTGATATTTGGTCCAAGAGTACCATATCTTAATGAAATATGTGCCTTACTGTATTTAGCAAATAAGATGTTACACTTCATGTGGAGCATAATACCAACAAATGAGTATTGCAATGAAATAAAGTTTTATTGATATCCCCAGGAAATTATAGACATGTGCTTGTTCTATTCCAAAGAACTCACTAATAGCCATGGTCTTATTGGGCAAGCAAAATTTGAATACCTCTCTAGCCTGCATACAAATCGCTCTCAGAAAGGATTTGTATTTACCTATGGAAATAGATCGACTCTGCAACGATCAAGGAAGCAAGGATTCATTGTTGCGTCTTCATATCTCTTATAAATACATATCTCCATCACCGTTCTAAAAATTAGCCTAGGCAGCGCTTAGGCGTTGGGCGGCGGAGCTCCGATCCGATTTAGGCCAAAACGTTCAGTTAAGGCGGGGAAGATTTAGGCGGCTGCCTAGGCGCTAACTGGGTGCTCTAGGTGGTATAAGCGGTGCTAGGCAGCACCCTAGGCGTTTTGAATATCGTTACAGCTCTTCATCGGATCTGCAACTCTTGATTTGATCTGCAATTCTCAATTTTTATCATATCATCGGAGCCTTATGCAGAATTTCTGTAGCTTGCCGTCTATGCGTGGATGAGGGGAGAGAAAGCGCGAAGAGAGAGAGAGAGAGAGAGAGAGAGAGAGAGAGAGAGAGAGAGAGAGAGCAATTGATTGGTTTTAAGCTTAGCTTCTGGATTTCAGCCTGGTTATGCGAGGGAGAAGAAGAAACGAAAGTTTGAGTTCTGCATGAAGAAGAAGAAACAAAATAAATTTAAAAAGAAAGGCTTCTACTTTCCAAGGGTCAAAGGCAGTAATAGGACCAGATTCCACCTTGGATTATGTGAGAAACGTGGGGTGGTGGGTTACATAGAGTAATTGATTGGTTTTCAACCACAAACCACTGAGTTGTTTATTTTTCATTTACTTATCTACTTAAAATAATATTTTATAAGGATATATAAATAAGGTTTTGTTGTCTTCTATTTTATATTTCCATATTATCTACTTAAAATACTCATATATATATATATATGTGTGTGTAATTATGTATGTTCTTCTTTTAAAAAAAACATATCACTCAATAATTATATATTAAATTTAATTAACCTACTTTAAAAGAATGATAAATTACCATATTATCTACTTATCCCCTTAATTAACCTTACTCAATAATTATATATTAAATTTAATTATCCTATCTACATTACTATATTTCCTTATCTGCCTGGACCCCGCCAACCCGCCACCCGACTAGCACCTAACATTTTTTAGAACCTTGATCTCCATGAAGCTAGTCATGAATGTATTGACTAATGCTTGCGGCCCATTAAAATTTGGAGCGCTTGTAAACCACCTTCAAAAGATAACACTCCAACTATCATGTAAGGTATTAGATTCATCAACTTAGTAATTAGCCATATTGAAGAATTTGAAATCAGGGAGAGATACTCATCAGGGGGAGCATCCAAAACTGATCAAGGTTTTAACGAGGCAACTGAAATTGACATATAGCCATCCAAAGAGGAGTGTTGTAATGTAATATGTGGATGGCCCACATGAATAATTCTTTACTATTCATCCAAAGAAAAGTCAGATGAGTTATTATTCATATGAAGAAAGTTTGTAAAGCAATGGTGTTGCTACATTAATCTTTTGCCTATAAAATGAGAGCATACGGAGGAAAGGAAAAAAGACAAAAAGAAAAGAGATAGGAGATGAAGAAGAGAAAGAAGAGAGATACAAAATAAAATACCAGTGAGCTGGGCAAGAGAGAAGAGAGAAGAGAGAAAATAGTGAGAATTATTTTTGTACTTCTATTATTTCACGTAATGAAAAAAAGTACTACTGTTGCCCCGAGGACGTAGGCACATTTGTCGAACCTCGTAAATATTGTGTCTCATTTACTTTATGTTTCACTGCACACATATCGTCGATTTTACAACAATTTAATTATATAAATGTCAAAACTAAGAAAAGACGATGATCTTCCACGATGGGACCTTTTCTCCTCGTCCTCTATGCCAAAGCCGCCATAGACGAGCTCGACGAGCCTCCCTCATACGACCTTAGCTCGCTTTTCTCTGCAGTCAAAATGGTACATGGACTTGAAAAATTCAGAGCATAATTTAATTTTGGTAGCCAGAATGATCTTCAAATTCGTGGAGAATGGTAGTTGTGTTGGAGATGAAAACTATTAGATCTCAGCTGTAGTTAAGCCTCCCACTCCGACGAGCAATGCCATGTCGGCCACCACTAGGCCTTCAATTCTGTCACGTGTTCCAGATTTCGCAAAATCACTTTGGACCTTTATAATTTCTTCCAACAACATAACGCACATGGAATTTGTGGGGATCACCTAGCGCATATGGAAGTCAAACCCTATCCCCTCATATCTCTAAGATCAAATATATCCAAGCTTGATATTTGCTCATATGGTGCCCATTCTGCTCAGTTTGACTCAAATTCTCTGTTCTCAAGCAAAGGGCTTTAAATTAAGAATAAAAAACCTGAAATAAGATTAATTCATGGGGAAACTAGAAGCTGCCCTTCACACTACCCGTTGTTCATCCCATCTCCTATCTCCTCATTACCACCTCTCGTCCACCCAACAGCTCTTCAGAACCCGTCTTCTTCCTCCTCCATTCAATATGAAACCGGTTAGTTACAAGTGAGTTTTAGTAAGGAAGTGTAATGAGAAGAATGAAACAGTGATAAATAAGCATATGCCTTGTGACACAGGGTTTCTCTCAATGCCCTGTGATTGACTATTAGGATACACATTCACTTGTTATGGATGTGATAATGTTCCATTAACTCGTAAGCCTAATAGTTTCTGAAAGACTTGAAATGTAGCTTATGGATGTGGTAACTGTATATTCATATGGGTTGAAACATACCAGACGAATTTAGTATAACCGTTTATACGAGTATTTAACTAGTCAGAGATATGTGAATAATGAACTATTCCCATGCGTTTTTATTAAGAAGTTTAGTTTCAGATATGCAATTGTTGCAATCTATGTTGATGACATGAATCTCAGTGGGACTTTGAGGAACGAAAATTATTATGCACCTTAAGCCGAAATTTGAGATGAAGGATCTTCTGAAAACACGTTATTGTCTTAGTCTTGAGATCGAGCATTGTTTTAATGATATTCTGGTCCACTACTCGAACTACACCAAGAAAGTGCTACGCCGCTTTAACAAGGATAAAAATTATCTTTGAGTACTCCCATGGTTGTCCGTACGCTTGGTGCATAACGAAACTCATATTGTCCAAAGATGGAAGATGATGAGGTTTTAAAGCCTAAAGTTTCATATTTAAGTGCAATTGGCGCTTTGTTGTACTTGTCTCAGTGTACAAGGCTGGACATATCCTTCTATGTGAAGCTCATAGCGAGACACAGTCATGCGCATACACGCATACACTGAAAGGTGTTAAAGACATGATACGAGTGTTGTCGTCGCCTTCTTGATCCCAATGTTGATTCTTGCCTTGTTGGTTATGTTAACGCTAGATATTTATCCGAGACACACATGATAAGATCCTAGGTGGTTTATGTCTTTACCATTGGTGAGACTGCAATTTCTTGAAGGTTTACCAAGTAAACTTAGTTGTTATGTCTTCGAACCATGCTGAATACTTTCATCCTAAGAGACAGCTCGTGAGTCTACATAGCTGAGAGCAATTGCATAGCATATACGAAGCACTTGTGGATTGTCATCTACCATTGATGTCCTAACAACGATATTTGAGAATAATTTCGCATGTATATACCGACTTTAAAACAGATGCATCAAAGGAGACCATACCAAGCGTATTACATCAAAGTTCTTCTTTTCACATTAGCAACAAGAGCATTACAAGATCCAGACAATCTCGTCGATCTCTTCACCTAAGTCATTGCTGAAATTCAATTTTCAGAAGCTTGTCTGCGGAATTGGAATGTGTAAACTGTCCAATTTACACCGATAGAAGTCTAATTATGGAGTTTTGTCGAACTCAAGGGGAATATATGGAGGATACCGAGTTGACCTTAATGTTTTCTTTTTACCTTAGTTCAAGAGCATTTGTCCCACTGAGTTTTGCTAACTTGACGAGGTTTTAATGAGGCACCTGTCTTGGACTGGTCATACCCCAAAGTGAGCTTTCATTGCCACTTGTTTCTTTAAGCTTTGACTTTGCACTTCTCACAGTTTTCTCTGATACTTTGGGTTTTGTCCCGCTTTAGGTTTTATCATTGTCATGTTTTTGTTAGTTTATGTTTCCTTAATGCAACCTTAATCTAGATTCGCGTGTGTATTGCCTATGTTGATTGAAGACTTCAGCAATCATCTGAGAATAACTGATGCAACTACTTCTTAAGTTTTACACACTCAAAAGGAGTGCTATGATTATTTAGGAGTGTAATTATGTAAATCTAGAAGTAGGATTCCAATAGAATTTGGGAGATCTAATCCCTTTATGACTTGTTGTATTACTTGTAAGGCAAGAAAAACCTACTTCACTAGTATAAATAAAGGCATAAGGCCACAAGAGAGGGTGTGCAAGTTATACAATTAAGTCTGTAGGTATAGTCATATAAATACAAGCCACAACTTAAGCATGTAATCCATACATCTAATTATTGAAATGGAGGCGGTATTCAGCAATCTTCTCCCAAGATCTGAGAGTTTTATCTTTGTAATTAGTTTGGTACAATACAATGTGAGTTACTGGGAAACTCAAGCCAGTAATGCTCTCATCCAAAATATAAACTTTTTCTTGTGCTTTTTTCCTCTCTTCTTCTGTCAGATGCCCATAGAGGAGACTCATCTGTGGCAATGGAGCTGCAAAACAATTACAGTAACATCGCAGAACAAATTATTTCTCTTGCACAAGCATGCAAATGAATCAGTAATTTATCTATCAATCCACATAAAAACAGATAGATTAAAATACAAAATAAAAACATTAATAATTAACGAGCTCTCCTACTATGCCAGCAACTTACGATTCCACAGATTGAAATCCACACCAGTTTCCATCTCGACCTGAGAAAATAAATTTTCACACGTGCTGTAAATAAATTTGATTCATATAATTACCACTAAGTCCACTACAACAAATAATGTAAATAAAAAATAAAAATAAATCTGGAAAATAGTGTATATTTAGCTCTTCGGGCAGATGAAAAACGAGGGCAACAGGATGGTAATAGGAAACCCTAGTAACCACGGAATCGACTTTAGCAACAAACGCACGCAAACATAGGTCAGATCGATTGGCAAGCGCGGCCTCGCACGTCAGCAGGAGCGAACCCTCAAGGGGGATGTGGGGCTCGATCTGGGGACCGCCAAACTCAGCTCGGAGGCCCCCCATTAGCTTTTTGATCCTGCAGGATACGTCGTCCGGTGGGATTGCCCACACCGAGTACGACTGCCTTTCCTCCGTCTTCACCACCTCCATCTCCAGCTCCGCCGTGGCATCTAGGTTATTTTCCAATTGGTAATTAATTAATTAAATCATTTCGGTGACTGAATTGACTTGGTCGCGTCCAATACGGAGATGGGGAGGAAGGATATTGACAGAGAGAGAGAGGGGTGATTGCATCTGTTTTGGGTTTTCTATTTTTCCCGGTTTTGTGTTTTTAAGAGAGATTTTCTTTTGTTTGGAAAAGGGTTTTTGTTGTTTTGGTTTTATTTTAGACTTTATTTTTCAGAATGTCCCAAACAATATACCTAAGAGCACTTACAGTGTAGGAAGGCTCCTTATGGCAATTGGCAATTGAATCCCTCCAGTAAATAGTAATTGCCTTTAATGAATGGTAATTGTCTTTTGCATCTCCATTCTTAAACTGAATAGCTATGACAATAGGTAATAAAATATTAGTACTTTTTATTTTATAAATAAATTAAAATTTCAAATAAGATTTTTAACTGATCTCGTCACGCCACGTGTCATTATCCCAAAGTACAATTTTTGTGAATAGATTTCGATAAGATTTTTAACCAATTCAATCGTGCGACATGTCCTTACCTATTTAGAGTAGTTGAAAATATTGAAATGTGTTGTAAAGTGAGAGAAAATGGTAAGGTATTTATTACAAAAAAAAAAATTATAATTTTTTTTCAGATTTTTAGTTAGTTTTTTTAAAAAAATATCAACTTAATTAATCTGGACCATCGGATTACAAAAAATTTGAAATCCAACAGTCCAAAATGAGACACGTGGCCCACCCAAACATTTTTTATTTTTTTCTTTTTCTAAAAAAATTAAAATTTGAAAAAATTGGACCGTTGATCTAGAAATCAAACCGTCCAGATTCAAAGTGACTGAGTGGGCCTGACATGCAGGCCCCATCGTCTGATCAAGACATGCCCCCACGCGCGCGTGTTGCCTACACGCGCGCGTGTTGCCTACACGCCTAACATAAAAAATTTTAGAACGTGGCTGACGTCGTGATGACATCAGCCTAACATCACTTCCCCTTAGGCACTCGGGCCTTGGACTCTCGCCTGCCCTCTCCCACGGACTCCCCAATAGCCCGAATGGGCTGGATCTAGTTTGGGAGGCAACTGGATTGGAAATGCAGGTGGTCCACCAGGCTAAAGAGCACGTTGGAAGTGCTCTAAGTATCATTTTACTCCTACTTTTTCAAAAGAAAATTTACTCGACTTTTGTTCTGTACATGTTACTCTGGTTTGTTAACTCTTCTTCATTAATTTTGGCTTATTGACAGGACATTTGTTCGTAAATTGCAAAGTTTTGCATTGGAAAATTGATGAATTAAATCGCTCTTATAACCTAGTAGTGGGACGTTGAATGTTCTCTAAATCTTTAGCAACATTTTTCTTCTGTTTTCAAATGTAGGTCACAATTTCTATTGTGCAACTTGATTCCACTCTTTGTACATTGTGCCTGTTTTCATATAATTTAGTTAATTATCATAACTAGTTGATATATGCTTGACCATCCCATTATGCCTCCGGTAATGATGCTATCCCATTTGGCCGTCCCATTTTGCTCGATGGACCAGTTCGTTAGGCACATACAAGAAAGTCGTCAAGCAAAAGTTGTGTAGGTGGTTTTTATTTTCGGAATAAGATTCTCTCCCCTCTTTTTTTTTTTCCCTCTCCTTCCCATTTGAATGATCACGGTTAAGCTACGTCAACATTTTATGTTAATTTTTTATAGACAGAGACAGAGACAGACAAAATGGAGAGTGTGAGAGGAATAGAGAGAAATAGATGGAAATAGGAAATGAAAGAATCCTAGTCACTTTTTTACAGGTCATTGTGGACCCTTTTGTTTTTTTTTTTGGGTAAAAGGTCATTGTGGACCTTTGCCCAACGGTTTACACACTTGCCCCCGTCGAAATCTGCTGTCGGGCAAAGTTCCTCGAGTCAACGAGCTCTAATTTTGCCGGGCAAATTATGGCACAATACGCACCAATTGTTGCTGATCTGCCAATTTTTTTTGGAATTGCGTACATGATTTTTCATTTTAATTTGACCTTTAATTTTCTCTAGAACTTGCTATAAATTTACATGAAAAATCAGATGTAAAACATTGAAACGTCGGAAGAAAAAGTGAAGCAGAGAAAAGAGAATATTTGATATCATTGTAGTTTTGTTGGAAAAGAAAGAGGCCCTCCTCACAAATGAAAGCCTTCAAAATCATTGACGAAACCAAATACAAAGAAACATAAATACTTATTATCATGCCCCAAAAGCTCCAAAAGCGAACGGATTTAAAGCATGCTCAAAAGCTTCTTGCCAGTAAGGTAGGAAGCATAAACATCATGAATTGCATATACTTGATCTGTTCATCAGAGAAAACTGTGGCATTCCAATCAGGAACAACACATCTTCCACCTAAGGATGTGCCTACAACTGGCTTGATATCAAAACCAACTTCACTTGCCAACTTCGCTAATCCCCATGTTGCGAGATTGGGTTTCTTCAGTACCTTGGCTGCCAAATCACCCAGGTCTGCACCTATCTTAAACTTACTATAATGAAGGGTCTGGGAGAGTTTTAATTTCAGTCGCATGCCCACAAAACCTATAGTATCATCAGCGAGAAGCTGCTCAAGTTCTTGTACTCTACGTTCAGCTACATAACCCTGCCCAGGAATATACTTACGTGCTTCCTTTAGCCCCGGGACGATCAAGCAACGACATCCGGCACAAACAAGCACCATTTGGGCATAGGAAGATCCAGGCTTAAAGTCAAGTCCCATAACAGGGACTTGGGATTTCAAGAAACCCCGTAGTTCTGATATTTTTTCACGAATCAACCGACCATCTTCAACCACACTCACTTTCACTTAAACGCCATGAACTTCAACTTCATAGTTACCCAATTTTGAGAGGAGCGGGACAGGCAACATGATGAAAGAGAGAGAACCGATCAATCGGTTTGTTTATATTTCCTTCGTGCTAATAACCCCGTTATATATAGGCTATGATGAGATAAGCATGGAAAGACTGAAAATTCTCATATTTACATCAGCTAAATATAGGCAGATGTATATAATAGATTCCCAATGCATTGGTTCAAATAATTATGATCTTGCACTTCGTACTACAGTCTAATAATATTTCTTTTCATTTGTAAGTAAGAAGTTTTATGTTCGATTCTCGTGAATAGTGAATTTGAACTACATTATTGCTAGCTTACTCTCATCCCCTTAATGTAAATAATATGATTTGTTATAAAAAAAAATAAAAAAAAAATCACTCTTCACTTATAAGGAAGAAGTCTTAAGTTCGATTCTCATGGGTCAACTATTGTTGCCTGTACAAACGAATTATGTCAAGGGTAGGGCGTTTATAGGGGGTAGGGTTTAGTTTTAATGTCATATGTCAGCCATGGTTCGTCGTACGAAACATAGGTGCCAGGGGTAAGGCATTTATAAGGGGTGTGTTTAGTTTTAATTCCAGGGGTCGACTGTTGTTGCCTGCATGAAACATCGGTGTCGGAATAAGGCATTTATAGGCCGTTATCAATGGGGGGTATGGTTTCGTTTTAATCTTAAGGGTCAACCATAGTTAGCCAGACAATGCATTGTTGCCTGGGGTAGGCATATTATAAGTCACTATCAACCATGATAGGATACGCACTAAAGTCATAAGTTGTAACATAGTAACCCCTATTTAAGGGGAAAAAAAACATTTCTTCGCTGTGCTGTGGCAATGGAAGAAAATTTGAATACGCTGGGCAATGAAACATGCCGAACTCAGGGTGTTATTATTAACACGCCACTAAACACTTGAACTCATGGTGTTACTATTCACTTGCCCCTAAACACTAAATCTCATAGGCCTCCACTGCTTCTATTGCACCTTGAGCTTTCTAGTGGGCCGCATAAGTTTGGGCTTGGGCGTGAGTTTGGACTACGTCTCCCTGCGTCTAAACCATTAATTTTATTTGTTTTAAGTTTTATTTTTGTTGAATTTTCGTCTTGCCCATACCACAACACGAAATTATCATCTTCATGTTCTACAAAATGTATTTTTGGTGAAAATTTTCTTATAATCCATGTCAAAAAATTCGAAAAAAAAGGATATAAATATAAAACATGTTTGAATCCAAATAAAGTAACGCAAGAAGAAAAAGAAATTCAATGGAAAAAGAAAAAGAAAAAAGGAGGGGTAAAAATGTTACGATCGGTACTTTTATTCCTATCGTCCGTGAAGGGAGTTGCTAGTAAGCTAGCGATCATATAAAATTACAGTCGCTAGCTAACTAGCAATTTAACTGAAATACAGTCGCTAATTTCATACCGATCCCCCTCTTTTCAATTTTTTTATTTCTCTTACCATAACTACAAACTATCATATTCATGTTCTTCAAAATATATTTTCCCATGCTAAATCTATTATAATTAATATTTAAACAATTGAAATTAATGATTTCAAACCTAAATTTAAAGATATTTTCATATTTTGAACTTTAAAAATCAATAAAAATAGTTTTAGGAAAAGAAATTCAATGGAAAAAGAAAAAGAAAAAAAGGAGGGGTAAAAATGTTACGATCGGTACTTTTCTTCCTATTGTCCTTGAAGGGAGTTGCTAGAAAGCTAGCGATCACATAGCATTATAGTCGCTAGCTAACTAGCAATTTAACTGAAACACTGTCGCTAATTTCATACCGATCCTCCTCTTTTCAATTTTTTTATTTCTCTTACCATCTTCAAAATATATTTTCCCATACTAAATCTATTATAATTAATATTTAAACAATTGAAATTAATGATTTCAAACCTAAATTTAAAGATACTTTCATATTTTCAACTTTAAAAATCAATAAAAAATAGTTTTAGGAAAAGAAATTCAATGGAAAAAGAAAAAGAAAAAAAGGAGGGGTAAAAAATG